CGTACTTTTGTATATAAATATGTTAGGTATATGTCAAATATGAAGTGCCTGCCGCGGTGCTACAAGCAGCAAGGCAGACAATAATTGATTTGTGGTTGCGACGTTGACAAGATTAGCTCAATATCGTTGAGTAATCAGCTTATGATGCACGAAAGCATAGAAAATTTCACTAACTTCAACTAAGTACATACAACAAAGTACATACATATGTATATTACCTTTTATATACATATGTACGTTATTTTACATAACTGCTTGCTGTGGCGGCAATATATTGAAATTATTGCAATTGCCCAGTAAAATATATGCACGTGTCGGTCTAGTAATGTTATGACCAGTAGTAAATATGGCAAATAGTAATCGTCATAACGTAATTGTCGAACAGCCGTCGGATTCATTAACTGCCATGACATGACATTTCGAATAACTGTACTGTATTGACAGTAGCAGGGCAGCCAATGACAGCAGCAGCGATACAACAATAAATATTGTATTATTTCCATAAATGATTGCTTGCAGGTTAGAAATTTCATTTTCAATTCCCCAGATCGTCATTTGTGTATAATTTATGGATCTAATTAAAATATGCATTTGACGTTATTGCTTTGTAATCGAGCTCCGTTAGTTTTATTTGGGTTATCTTAATACTGACATTGTTGCTAATATTGTCATAGCAAATATTCTTAAAGTTCAAAACGAGTGAGGAAAGACCAAGTTCGGATGCAGTCGAATATTATAGACACTTGCAAGTGATTTTGGAATTTTAAGCACTAAGAGTGGGGAAATATTTTCAGTAATTCAAGCACGGAATTCAAGCCGGGCAAGGATATTAGCTTCGAGCTCGCTGACTGTGGCTCAAGACTAGTGAAGCGATTTATAAACTTCTTATTTCTGACATCGATTTACTGCATGACTAAACTGGTTTAGGCCACAACGGTTTTACACAGCGGATAAGCTTGCCAACTTCAGCCTTACTAACTGCAGAATTGGAACGGATAGGAAAGCCGTTGACTTCTTGCGGTTCATTACTGGATTATTGGGTCTCAGAGCAATTCATCAAGCGTTGGTCAACTAGTAGAAGCTGTGCAGTCACAAAGTTATTCTGGTCTATGGTAAATCCTAAAAGATCTAGTAAGCTCTTCAGCAAAGACTCAGCAAAGACCAGCTTTCAGTTGTTATATGAGTTCTAACTGGACACGGTCCGATCAGGCTTCATGTGGTATGTTTGAAAATTTGAGCGGATGCCTATATATAGCTATTTGAAAGAATATAAGATAGATTCACGTCAACATTAACTCCTTAAATGTCTCGTCTTTGTCAGATCAAGCCTAAACACCTAAGATCTCGTACTTTTAGATATCATAGCTTGGCCGATAGCTGATATACAACTGCAGGAGTTTTTTATCTGGCTTAACAAAAGACTGCACATAACAATATACAAGTAAGTATGAGTCCCCATCATCTAGTGGGATCAGCCATTTAACCTAACCTAACCTTAAGTTCAACACTACAAAATTATCACTAAAAGATAGTCTCTAAATTTCATTAAGATATCTCACAGCTCGACTGATATATTCGGTTTACAGTCACACACAGATATTTATGATATGGGGGCCTTGAAAAATTGACGTCCAATTTGGTCTATTTTTAAATGATGTATTATATATTGTAACATACTATATGTGGGAAGCAGGCCTGGTTGAAGTCCACTTACGCCTATTAAACTTTGATATAGAGATGTTTTTGCCGAGATGATTTTAAAGTTTTTCGTTAGACAGTCATTTCGTTAGTGCTTTTAAAGTTTGTCGTTATGCTTTCATACTTCGGGTTTATAGTTTTAGCACATTATAAAGACACCCTTTATATCTTTCACTTTCACTTTCCTTCCTTTCTTAAAAAGTATTTAATGTTAGATACTCTCGAACAGTATTTAATGTTAGATACTCTCGCTGTTCGCCTTCCTTATTTTTCATAAATACTTCAATCAAAGTTTTTTCACATGTTTATAGTTTATACTCCGCCGCTTGGAGTTCACAACAGACAGTAAGAGTATACCAACTACAGTGCTTGCAAAACTTTCAAGCTCTCCATAAACCAGCTACTACATATACATATATGTATACATATGTAGGTATATTAATAAATAGCTAGTATTTCTTTGATCGTCTGACTGCCGAGCCTTCTTCGCATACTCAAATGCTAGTAATTTACTCATATACATACATATGTACATACTACTATGTGAGTAAATAAAACATTTTAATAAAACTTAAATCTTCGCTCTCTCTTCATTGCTCTGAATCAGTTAAGAAAAAAATTTGTTCTACTCGCAAACATATGCGCCAAATAGTAATCACTATCTCACAGCTTTCACTTTTTCGGCCACTTTTATACCAAGTAAATTTTTTGTTATTTTTGCGCTCTGACTCTCTGCCAACATTCGAAGCTTGGAGGCAGTTACTCAGCTGCGCTGCTGTGCATTAGGTTGGGCTAATAAATAAAAGTTGGGAGCGGAGATATGGTGCTTTATTGACTATACATATGTATATTGATTATTTCACAAAGTCCCCTTCTTTAAACTCTTTTATAGAAAATATTTTTAGTTTATACAAAATTTGAGTATGCTGGTTAATCTGTATATGTATTGTTATATTAATATTTTGTTATTTAAAAAGTATAAATCAATACACAATTTCAAAATTTCTTTCAATAATTAAGTCATGTTTTGGTTAGTAAAAAATTTAATTATGTTCCATTGAAATTTATGGTAATATACCTATATTACATTACAAAACAATATGTTTATTTAATAAATAAAATGTTTAAGGTTTGAAATTTGGTAACATTAAATTTCAGTTGGTTTTTACAATTTCGGCCGTAATTATAGGTGAAATATTATATTAAAAACTCCCCAGTCTAATGTACGTAATATATAATATATCGTTCATTTACCGCAAAACCGTCATAACTCAAGATTTGCTATTTCGAGAAAATTCGCTTTTAAAGTTTTCAACTCGCTTACTTTCTACGAAAAAATCAAGTCCATTACATTACCCACTTATAAACTATTAGGTATAGAAACATAAAACTTTGACCAAATATAAAGCTTTAGTGAATGGTAACTTTGGCATTATTAATTTAAAACCGCATTTTTCCAGTTGTGACTGTCTTGCCGTAAGCAAAGTATATGTACTTATACATACATACATATACCGCATGCCCACGTGTGCTCTTTTATCAGATGTTATTAAGCATTCGTTTCGCGCCAGCTATTTTTATATTGCTATCGCGAGAATGACGACAATAAAAACACTGGTCTACAGTGGTTTTATTGCCGTAGATATAAGATCGATTTTGGATATATATGTGTCCACACTTCATGAAACTATCAATGGTTTTGTAAGATATGCGCTCGTTTAAATCTTTATTTCCATTTTAGGCTTAGATATGTCCACATTTGGTTTTTAGTAAAACTTTAAAACTTTCGGCATAATTTTTCATAAGGAACCTGAGAGTGAAGACCACGTGATATTTTTATGCACGAAAAATATGCGCAGAATCCTAATCATGACAGGAAAACTAAATTTTTAACGCTTTGAACATTGAAACCAACAAATTCTGTTACAAAAAAAAGTTCCTTACAATATTATCCGATAATGTTCTAAAAAAAGAGAGTCAATGATGCCTGCCATTGAAACAGCAGATCATACAGTAGTCTTAGATGAATGACTAAAGCTCCTTGACATCCGGGTCGTTATCCATATACATACAAGTATATATTGTTGAACCGGTGTTTTCGAACTTCGGCTGACATTTTCTTACCAGAGCTTCTCAGCTCTGCGCTTTGGCTTGATGTTTCATTAAACATATACTCCTACAAGCAAGCTATTCGATCAGCTATTTACAGACACAAATTTTCCGAGAATTTGCAACTTTGGAGTTTCGAGATTTTCAACGGACTATGATCTTCTAAGTTCAACCGAGATACCTTTGAACGTATCTCCAAATGGGCAAAAAGATCTTTTAAGAGACTTTTTTTTATTTTTGCCAGTAGTTTATATAGATTCGTTTTCCTCATCTACGGTTTTCTGTTGTTTTTCATATGCTTTCTTCTTGTAGAAGTAAGAGGCAGAAAGATATCTCGTCAAATAAAAAAGTGTTTCATACCAGAGCATGAATTTGATCGTTCAGTTTGTATGGCAGCTATATGCTATAGTCCAATATCGGCGGTTCCGACAAATGAGCAGCTTTTTGGAGAGAAAACGACGTGTGCAAAATTTCAGATCGATATCTCAAAAACTGAGAGAATAGTTCGGGAATACCATATGCAAACATACAGACGGACAAGGTTAAATCGATTTAGCTAATCCCGCTAATCATTTGTAGTATATAAGTACTTACATCTGTAAGTATTTACTTTGGTTGTTATAGCCTTCGTGCTAAACTTAATATACAATGTTCAGGGTATAAAAATTATTAAACTGATATGTACTTAGGTATGTAGGTATATAGTAAAAGTATATATGTACATATACATATAGATATTTCAACTTACTTATGTACATAATAAAAAGCTCTCTTTGATTAAGATTTGCCGTTCGTATACTTATATGAATATGTGTAAAAATTGGCATAAACAAATTAATTAACAATAAAATTTCTACTAACAAAAACAAACAACAACAAATCCACAAACAATGCAGAGCGACAGCTGTGCGCAATATTTGACAACAGTGGAGATGATACACTTCTATAGTGCGTATGTATAACTGTAAATATGTATGTAGCTGCAAATATTTGCATTGCTAAATTCGCATCGCCATTTCAGCCATACATACATACATACATATGTACACATAATGTATGTATGCATAAGAATCTCTCTGCTTTTTCGCTGGATATCTGATTGTCGTTATTATTGCCAACGTGCTGTTTACTCAATTGTTCTCATTTCTGGCTCTTTTACTTTTATTAACGACGGCCTTTGCCTTTCAGTCTGCCTTCCTGCCTGCTTGCTTTCCGGCCTGTCAGCTGGCCTGGCTGTCTGTCTGTCTGTCTGTCTATCTGCACGCGTACAAAATTTCTTTCCACTGTTGTTTTTGCTATTATTGCTTATTGCTCGCTCTCTCAAGCTCTCCTGTGAGCACCACATTTCACTTTATTGTGTTCGACTTTCGTTATTATTATCGTGCGCGCTTCGTATTTTTCGTTATAACGATACGAAATCGCGCGCCGGTGTATGACATCACGTTACGACAAGTTTTTAGTAACGCGAAAAATGCCAAACGATTTGGATGTACGTCGCTTGATAGAAGAGGTAAAGGCACGGCCCATTATTTGGGATGTGCGTTACGGGGAGTATAAGGATAGGACGAATACGCCGCAAAAGTGGGCCGAAATCGCTGCAAGTTTGAGTGTCGATGGTGAGTTTACATATATGTACATACATACTTCTACTTATATAACTCTTAATAATCACGTGCTTATATATGCATGTACATACTTACAAATTTGAATTATATTTAATTTCCGTCAAGCATGCACAACTGTACTTATAAAAGTAAGCGAGCTCACTCACACACATATGAACATACATATACATGTGTATTTTTATATCCGTGTATATACTTGCGTATGAAAATGAGAGAAGGAAGTGAATGCGTAAAAGTAAAAAAGTCGCTGATATTGGGTTTGGTATGCAAAATAAAAAAATTTAAATTCAATTTATTGGCCTTTTCTGACTACCGTTAATTGTTTTTTGTTTTGTTTTGGGCAATTCATGTTTCGCAATCAAAATTAGGCACATACATACATATTACATATTTTATTTATGTGTATATGCAGAGTAAATTATGAAAATACATATGTATGTATGTATGTATTTTTGGATTAGCGGTGCACTTGTTTATTTAAACCGTCTCATAACTAAGTGACAGGTATTTCCATGGCAAAATTATAACTGCATTACTTTATAATTATGTATGTTAATATTTTGGCAGTTAACAAGTGCTCTGACATTAGGGTGGCACTTATAATTGTATAAAAAAAATTGTACGATTTAAAATATATATTGTACAAATATTCATCAAATGTTGAAAAAATATACATTTAAAAAAAAAAAAAATTCCTTGCAGGAACTCGATTTTAATCGCTCAGTTTGTATGGCAGCTATATGCTATAGTAGTCCGATCTGAACAATTTGCTAGGACATTTTACCGTTATCTTCGTCAACAATACAAAACAAATTTCCTACAGATATCTCGTTAAATGAAAAACTTTTCCATACAAGAACTTGATGTCCATCGTACAGTTTGTATGGCAGCTATATGCTTTAGAAGCTTGATCTAAACAATTTCTTCGAAAGTTGTAGAAATACTTCGGGTAATAGTCCCTACCAAATTTCTGGAAGATATCTCGTTAAATAAAATAGTTTTCCCTATAAGGACTTGATTTGGATCGGTCAGTTTGTATGCTATCATGATCCGATATCAATTTCCACAATTGGGCAGCTTTGTAGGGAGAAAAAAACACGTGCAAAATTACAGATTGTTATCTCAAAAACTGAAGTATCAGTTCGCGTATATACAGACAGACAAACAGACGGATATGTTTGAATTTTCTCAGCTCGTCACGCTGATCATATACATATATACACACATATATACCTCCTTGGGTCGCTGACGTCTCTAACGAGTGTTACAAACTTTGTGGCAAACATAATATACCCTGCACAGGGTATCGATATTTTTTAGTTAAAAATCAAATAAAAATTAATCTAATTAAGTAAATGTATTCCCTACTCTCAACCACAGATTTTTTAAATGTAATTATTATTCATATGTATCATATAAAATATCACCATTAATTACCTCCCCAACCACCACAGTCGAGCACTGCAAACGAAAATGGAAGAATCTACGCGATGCCTATCGCGCCGAAGTGCGTCGCAGCGAACGACGTGTTGAGCGGCTGAAAGCGAGCGGCAACTACGACAGTTCCATGGATGTACGCAGCAAATGGGCCTACTTCGATCAGATGAGTTTCATTAACGACAGCCGCCGGCCGAGATATCAATCGCACACGCACAAGAGCGAAGGCGAGGGGTCGAATGGCTCACACGATGACACGCCCGGCTTTCACAGCTTTTGCGACATTAAAATGGAACCACAACACACCACCGACGAGGATGACTACGAGGACGACGATCAATTGCTCGAACAATTCGAGAGCGCCGCTACACCACAAGCGGTGCGACGCCTCTCCAATTCCATATCCGTTGCGAATGCTGTCGAAGATGCGGCCATAGCCGGCACGAGCAGCAGCCGCTCGCCCAGCTGCAAGTGTTCGAATCGTGCCGATGATCAGGTGCATTTTCTGGAGAATTTGGAACGCGAGGAACAGAGTCTGATGCAATCGACACGAATGGATATGACGCGCGACAATAGCACCAGTCACGTGGGTGATTCGGATTACAATTTCCTCGTTAGCTTTTTGCCGCAAATGAAGCGCATGAGCGAGTTGCAGAACTTGCAATTTCGTGCGAAGATGAGCGAGTTATTGTTGAACATCATGGCGCCGCAGTCGCCGTCGGGGCAATTAGTGTCGACCAACGCACAGAGTTTGCAAAGATTCCAACCACAACAACTACCGCTGCAACAACTACAGCAAATGCCGTACCAGCAGGCGCCAGCACAACTAGCTCTACAGCAGCAGCAACAACAAGCGCAACGTGGTGTCATTCAGTGCATGCAATCAACGCCAGCGCAAGATTTGTTGCAACTACAAACCGAACAACTGCAATTGCAACAAGACGATCAACGAATGCAACAACAGCGACCACAATTCACAGCAGCCGATTTAATGGATGCCGAACAGTTGGAGAGCAGCAATCTGAGCGCTGCCAGCGAAATGCTCGGCGATAACTCAAATAATTGGCCATGAACTGCTGACACGCACAAAAACTCAGGCGCATGCACTCAATACAGTGCTTTTCAAACTGTGTGCATTCTCTTTGATAATATTACGTATCTAAAAGTCTAAATGTGAAATTTTTATCAAAAAGTCAATTTATTTCATTCAATATACCAAAAAATACCGTGAAATATAATTACTTTTATTAATATATTCAAAAAAATTTTTTTATGTTAATAACTTATATATGTTTTTGGAGTATAAATGTGTTTTTGCATTTTTTCTTTATATGGCAAGCTTTAATAAAAATTTAAAAACATGTAAAACAAAAAAAAAATAAGTTTTTTAATTAGAAGCTGTAATACCCTGTTTCCATACAAAAACTAAAAATCAAGTAAAAATCGGTCATTTTGTATGGCAGCTATAAGCTATAATAGTCCGATCCTCAAAATTCGTTAGGACATTCTATGTTACGTTGGAAAATAATCCACTCCAAATTTCGCGAAGATATCTCGTCAAATAATAATGGCAGCTACATATGTGCTATAGTAGTCCGATATCGGTGATTTCGACAAATGCAAAATTTCAGTTCGATGTCTCAAAAACCGTGGGGTTAGTTCGTTACGCTAATCATTTAGTTATATACTTTTTAGGGTTTCCAATGTTACCTTCTGGCTGATTCAAACAATTCCAGGTACAAAATCATAATTAATTATTCATATGCTAAGAGAGCTCTAGCAGTTGACTTCTTTTTTTACAAACATTTGCGGCTTTTCAGGGTATATATCTTTTTAAAAACAACTGGAGGCTTCTAAAGTCCAAAAGTTGTGAGATGAAGTTGTCATTTATGGTTTTTGTCAACAAATTTTATTCTGACATAAAAATAGACATCTGAATTGTATTAAGCCTTAACAAACCATATTATACATATAATGTAAGTAACTCACTCCCTTCTGTTATATGCTAATCGAGTCGGCACTTTTAAAATATTCACTAATCTCTCTTAGAGGAACTGTTATTTGACTTTCCCAATTATAATTATAAAAAAGTCTGAAAAGTTTTTTACTGCATCTATATGGCTGATAAAATTTAAGAAAAGCTGTTTATTGACAAATATAAACTTTGGAGTTTATAATTTTTTTTTTTTTTGGGATTTTATCTCGACCAAGATTTTGACCCCATGACTCACTGGTCTCAGTAAACTTAAAATATCTCACTATCTGTGTATAACCAAACTTATTTCCAGTGTTTAGATAGCTTTTGATAACAAAACACATCACTTGACTCCCCAAAAACTTTATACTTGAGGAGAGAACAATTACCAATGAAGCTTGAACTACATACCGAGCTTTTCTGGATATTTGGCATTCATTACGTATTCATTTTAATATAATGACACATGAATGTAATGCTGAATGTTCGAATGGTTTCGATTATTTATATGGACTTGCACTCTGAGTCGAAAAAAAGCCACTATAATCAAACTATACAGCTAATATGGAAGATATATAAATACAAAGTATGGTTGACTATTAGAAAACAAAGAAAAAATGGTTGTTAGAAAAACGAATCCACACTCTCTTCTTTTTAAAATGCATATTGTTTTAATAAGAGCAATTTTGTGAAGTCACGGCATAGTTCGAGTATATCATAGAGCCTGAGGGGATTAATGAATAAAGAGCAGTATTAGAGAGACAAAAAAGCATCCAATCAATAAACTTATTCGGTCTCAAAGTTTCTCTTTGAAGTGGGCATATCTGGCAAAAGTGGAGATATCAGGCAAAATCGGATGAGTGATGGTTTCCGCAAACTAACTTCTTTACGAAAACTAACTTCTTTATATGTATATAATAGCTGCCTTCGATTCGCCGTTTCTGTGCTCGCTTCTGCTCTCTTGTTAATAAAATTACTTGTAAAAGTAACAACAAAGTTATCTAGCTGAATTCGTACAACAAGAAATGCGATACCTCATTAAAGTGGTATAGCCGCTATCTTCAATGCTGCGCGTTTGTTTGAGCATCTGGTATAGTAAAGCTGGTCGAATCGGCTCTGTCTTTATAAGATGAGAAGACAAGAAAAGTTATGCTAAGGGCCCCATTGTCTCTGTGTTTCATTAAATAGTCTCACTTCAATGTCGACCATACAGACGATGGATTTTATACATTTTTGATACCAACATCATCATATAGAGAGGAAGATTCTCATTGGGTTTTATTAATATTATATATCTTACATGTTCAAGCAGATATAAGCCCAAATCCAAAAATTTTTTTAAAGAGAGTTACCACATGTAAAGAAAGCTATATATTTTATTATAAGTTTTGTTTGAGTTATCTGTTGTATTGTATTATTATTGGATAGTTTTTTTTTTTTTTTTTTTTGTGTGGAATTTTCAATCTTTACCTAATCAGTTCCATTAATATGTAGAGTCGTTTGTCAAAATAAAACAGTAAAATATTAAATGTTACATATTTAAACTTACATTGACATTCTGGCCATTTAGCTTCAACATTATTGAAGAGAGCTTCACGGGTATAGGTGCAACAGACCTGTTTTATATGGTAGACGGGCATATGTAAGAATTACATTCTTGGCAGAATTCCCATTCCTGGTCTTATTATTCTACTTCTATTAAATCCTAACATCAATAACACCTCAAGGACAAACAGACATTTAGCCGAAGTTTGGTTGACCATAACATATACATACTCGTACATATATTATATTACATACACATATTTGCTGTCGATTCTCAACTTCAACACTCGTGCTTCAACTGCTTCGGTAGAATAATAAACAGCCATGCTTTTTAAGGAAATCCAGTTGCTCCAGCGCAAAGGTGGTCTCCCACTTTCAGCTAATTATTTGTGAACAATGACAATGACAAAATCAGAGCAGTTACAAAAAAGGCACACATTCTCTACAAAGAAAAAAAAATACAAAAACAAAAACACAAGTGCTTCCCTCAACTGTGCCATGACGAATTGGAATTGACATTGAACCGAGCGTTACATACGAGTAAAAGGAACATACCGACACACACATATATAAACTTGTAGGTTTGGAGACACAGCAACAAAGACACCATTGCACAGTGACAACAACAACACGTGCTTAAAATAAATACTTTGGAGTTTAAGGTGTGTTCTTGAGCTTGACTGAGTACTTCGGTCAAATGACAAAAACAACACAGCAACATGGTTGCAATGAAACAATAAACAACTTGGTCAAAAGGAAACGCTTTAAGATCGAAAGCTATCAGCACAACAACAACAACAACAATGAGGATAAAAAAGTCTTAACATTTTGACACAACAAAAACACATGTGGGTATAGGTGAATATTAGACCACATGTACATACCTAAATATTTATGTATGTCCCCCACGACTTCGAGCCGCTTGACATGAGCAACATGTAGCTATGCCACGCTTGTTGCCGGCTAGTTGTCGCTTTGGTTGACACTGACTTCGTTGCCATTGCTGACTCGTTTGCTGCTGCTATTGTTGTTGTTGACACTGTGCTGGTGACATTGCCCACTGGCGTTGCGGCGCATTATCCAAAACTTCACACATGCATATGGACAGACCTACACATGTATTGAGTTACCGGGGAGCTTGAATGGAGCGCCTGTGCCACTATTTATCGATGTGAGTGGTTGCGTGTTGTTTACTTGCTGACATTGGCGCAAATAGCGTACAACAATTGCATGTCATATGGCGAGCGGTCGGTTAGCTGAATGTCTGGCTGATTGAGTTTGATCGTTCGCATTGTGGGGGTGCAGTTGAAGATCGATCGCAACAGCTGCGCCTGCTGTTGGGGGTAGGCAGTAATAGCAATTACATTGCGCAGCCATTTGAGACTTGTGCAAGAGTTAGCACCCTGCAAGGAACTGGGGTCTTGAAAGTTAAGTTTGCATATTTATTTTTGGTACGGGACATTCTAGGAATCTTTTGTTTGGCTCATGTAGTGTTTGACTATGCAATCGAAAAGAGTTATTATTTGTAGAGTGCTTGAAAAGCGTCCTGTTGGTCTCAGTGATATTGCAAAGGATCTTAACATCTCTTCTGAATCCACTAAACGACGTCGAGTAGAGATCGCAAAAGAAATGCTTGAGGACCCTGCATTCATCAAAGGCATCATTACTGCGGACGAGGCGTGGTTTTATAAATATGACTTCATAACAGTCTAACAATTTAGCGAATGGTGCTCTGAAAATGAGCCGAAACCGAAAAAAACCAAATTCGCTAAAGACAATTATAGTTGTTTTTTCAAAATTTTTTTATACAAAATTAAGGCAGAAATATTTGCTCATCTTTATTCATATATTTTGAAGGGCTCGTTAGTTTTAAATATGTTTAAAGATTATTACCGTACTCCAACTTAGGACTTGCTCCAATAAGTTTTTCGCTCAAGAGAATTGACTGCTCAACTACAGTCCAGACTGAAATATTACGAGATGACATCCGCTCCAAAGAGCTTTAAGGATGATAGGGTACTTTCATTTTTTTGTTGTGGTAGAAAAGGAAAAGTTTCCAAAGGGCTCAAAATTTTCATTATAAACAGGTACAGATGACTGAATATCAATGCACTTCCCTTAACTTAATGGGAATTAACTTAACTACATATTACCCAATTTAAATTACTTAACATTTTTTAATTTTTATATCTCTACCATAAGAAATTGTGAAACCTACAAGTTTTAGATTGACATCCAAAAAAGATTACCTTTTTATTGACAGATACTTATAAAGGAAGTTTGTCTTGCCTGCCTTGAGATAGCTTTAGAATATTTTGTATGTTAGGAGGAGGAGAGCAGAAGTAAAGTAATCACTTAAATTAACTGAAATAAATTTTAAGCTGACTTAACTTAACTAAACTTAACTTAACTTAAACTCTAATGTGACAAAGCACAACTTAACTTAACTTGTATAAACTCAACTTATCTTAACTGAAACTCTAATTCGACATAACACAACTTAACTTAACTTAAATTGTATTAACTCAACTTAACTTAACTTAACTTGGCTTAACTTAAATTAACTTAATTTATCTTAACTTAACTTAAACTCTAACGTGACATAACACAACTTAACTTAACTAAACTTAACTTTACTAAACTTAAAATAAGATAACTTAACTTCCCTTGACATAATTTGTCATAGGTTGTGTTTTGACTAATCCGAATTTAGCTCAACATGAGTTGAAATAACATAAATTAACCTAACTTAACTTGTATTAACTCCACTTGACTTAGCTTAACTTAACTTAAACTCTAACTTGAAATAACACAACTTAACTAAACTATACTAAACTTAACATAAAATAACTTAACTTG